GCAGCTTGTTTAGCGAATTTTATGTTCTTCCTTAAATGCTGCCACATTCTGGCACCTGTAGTAGCTGTAGCATTTAAGATGGCACAGAAAATTCTATTAAAACTTCAGCCTGGTTTAAAGGTAAACATCAAATGCTCGACTACAGTTCGGTTCCTTGCTGACAGACCCTTCACAGCCTGGAACAGTACATTTCTGCACTAAGCCTCCATTTTCAGGGCTGTTGGTCTGTTGTCGGTGTTTCCTGCTGGGCTAAACTGTGGGCTGTTATACGAAAATTTTGGGGGTGTAAATATTAATGATTCCAGACTGTTATGTAACAGTTTGGGATTATGGAATCAGGCCATATTTACAAATGCACGCTTTGCATTAGAAAGAGGAGACTTCAGTGTTTGGGGTTCACAGTATGTCAGCTCCATGTACCAAACACTCCTTATTTAACTATGCCAGTGTAAATACGGTTTTCCATATGGCACCTTTAAGGCCTTTATACACCTAAAAAAATGTATTTATGCAATTTATTTGGTGACAGTAAATTTGAGCATGTGCATAACTGGCGGTATCTTGCACACCAAATGCGATTTTACACCCACAAACACACACACATTTTCTAAGCCGCTCATCCTTCTGGGTCACGGGGGGAGCTGGAGCCTATTCCAACGGTCATTGAGCGGAAGGCAGGAAACACCCTGGACAAGTTGCCAGCCCATCGCAGGGCAGACAGACAGACATACACATTCACACACACTCATACCTAGGGGGGAAATTTAGCGTCTTTAGACTGTGGGAGGAAACCGGAGCATCTGGAGGAAACCCACGCAGACACAGGGAGAACATGCAAACCCCTGCGATTTTCCACATGGTGAAAATTCAACATTATTGTATTCGCCCGCTGTTAATTTAGTGAACTTTCACCCGTGACAAAAGCTCACTGACCAGTTGGCTGTGTTCCAGCAACTACAACTTTTTTTTTTACAAATGACAGAGGGGTTAGAAGCTGTGAAAGCTGGTCTACACACATCCGAGTTATGTGTGCACATGTAAAGCATTCAAAATTTCAGGTTCTTAATGAAGTAACGAAGCTCTTCATGCTACTTTTATTTGTTTTATTTTTCCATCTACTCTTTACTCTATAAAGAGTAGATGGAAAATGTTCATACAAAAATGAATTATGACTTATGTTTTTGGTACACAAACCTACACATATGTCATAAGCTGACCTCAGAGACCAAAAGTAAATACAAGACAAATGTAGGATATTTTCAAGCACAGTGAGCGTTTCACTTAAAACCAGTGGCCCATCAAAAACAAAAATATCTCCATTGCACAACAGGCATATAATCCAGAGTCCATTCAAGGGCCTTGTGTATTACCCCCAATTTGTGAAACAGAATAAGAGAGTGTGTTAGTGGTAGATTTAAGCTTGGGCCATCATTACAGCCTCTTCTCCACACTTAGGCGTATGTGAAGGGCAGGCCACTGTTTACGGTCACTTCAGCCTTCACCAAAACCAGCTGACAACTTTGAAAAGTTCTTATGTTTATTGCATTAATGAGTATAATGGATGAAGAAATACGTAGTCTCTCTTCCAAACAGCTTCATCGTACACTTTTTGCCAGGTTTGGATGGGATATAATAGCTGAATTGGCAGTGGTTCAGCTGTGGTCAGGTTGTAATTGCATTTGAGAAGCTCAAAAATTGCCAGGCTGTAGCTCTACTGAAACACAATTTAAGGTTCTCAGAATATTCACAGTGATGCCACTAAAAATGCCTCTAAAACCTACACTACATGGACAAAAGTAGGTGACCATCACAGCTATATGATAAACTGTTGCCACATAGTTCGCAATAGTTTGTCTAAAATGCCTTTGAATGCTGTAGCATTAACATTACCCTCCACTAGAACTGAGCCCAAACCCTGAAAAACCCCAGACCCAGATAATTATCCCTCCTCCACCAAACTTTACTTCCAGAGGCAATTTGGAACTCTGTAGTGAATGATTTGAAGAATTTGAGAAAAAAAAAAAAATGTCCAGTAGATTTTGATTATTTATATTTCTGATTGACACTCTTAGGTGCTTGGCGGCCCCAGACGCTTCCATTTCACAATAATAATTCTTCTAATTCTATAATGGCCATTTTGGATAGCAGACAAAAATGGTTATATTTGTGTTGTAGATGTTGTGACCTCTGGTTTCTATCACCAAGCAATGCAACATTTCACATCAAACCACTCTGAATGACTTTGTTTACATCACAACTATTTATTCAAAGCAGAAATAAAAAAAAATCTGTGGAATTCCCCTTTAAGTGGAACCTGAAATTTGGCTGTGGAAACAACATATAATCAGCACACGTTGCTCACATAATGATTATATTCAAACATGCAAACATGAACCAGAAGCTGACATGTAATCTTGTGGTGATGCTGCTTGTGTAACACAGCAAAAGTGACACCTCTGGTGGAGAGCTACAGGTATTCATTACTGACGATTGTGGGTTTAAGCTTCAGGAGGCCTCACTGGATTGGTGTAGTAACCTGGATCAAACTCTGCTGATGAGTTTACCTGCCGTGGCAAAAAAGGAGGTTAAAAGAAAGCTGAAAAGCTAAGAACTCCCAGAAACTAAAGATAATTATACAGCTACTCACCTTTTTGAACTTTGATTCTGCTTAGCTCCTTCTTACATGCATTTAAGGTCTCAGGTTCAGGTTTTAAAAACACTGACATTAAAATAAATATAAACTAATTAACAATACTTTATGATTTTATGTGTGTCAATGTGTTAGATTAACCATTTCCAAAGGTCTTCTTGAGGAAGCCCAGTATTTACAGTTGTCATCCTATAGCCAGTTTATCTAATCACTCCATCATGAAAGGGGAATTCCACCGATTTCCCAAAGTTTCTGCATAATTAAATGGTTAAGATGTAAACACTAAGACGTGGTTTGATGTGAAAACATACAGAGTCAGAATTGTTCACAGTGGTAGTGATAGGAATCAGGCATCTGAAGGGTTTAATGCCTCTTAAAGCTCCCTTATAGAAACCAATTATATGAAATGGTTATGAATAAGATGTGATGCCTGGTAAATTGTTTTATGATAGTTTTGAAATAGGATTTAAAATGATTTTTTAAAATCCATTCATGGCAGAGAGGTATAAACAGGGTATTATAAGGCATAATAGTCCCCAAATAAAACTTCTTTCAAATTTACTGTTTTTATTTTTATTTGTCTGTACTCTGATGATATATTGTGCTTTTTTACTGACAAAAACACACTGACTGTCAACATAAACTAATTTTCCGCCTAGGACTTTGCAGAGTACTGTATAAGTAATAACCAAGTACTTTAAAGGGAAATACCACCTATTTTTGAAAAATCTGCATAGAATGGTTATTCAGATAGTTTTGATCTATGAGGCTGCATTGTAGAGGAACTTTACTCACTCAGCTTTCTTCACAGTGGTGGTGAGAGCAACCAGGGGTCACCATGTCTACAAAGCCATTTTATTTACTATGTGATTTTACACCAGGGAACCTACACATGTCTTCTAAGTTTTATAATGCTGATAAAAGTAAAAATGGTAAATCTGAAAACATTGTAGCACAACGCATGTATCTCTCCACCATGAATGGGTTAAAAAAAATTTATATACATATATATATATATTTATATATATATTTATATATATATGTATGTTTTAGAACAAAATGGGAAAAGTGAAAATATGTGGTCCTTAACTTTGGAAATGAAATGTTACACTTTCACATTTTATTTATTTATTTTAATATATAAAGTTCAATGTTGAAGTTAAATTAGTTTTTAAATTCACTTTTATTTTTAAAGATACAATATACAGTTTATTTATTTATTTTAGTTTATTTATTTATTTGAATCTCTTAAGGTTCTTTTTAAAAGTAATAATAAAGTTATTATTGAAGTTAAAGTAGTTTAAAACCAACTTTTGTTGTTAAGTATACAATGTACAGTTTATTTATGTATTTATTTATTTGTTTAAGTCAAGACAGGGGCGGGAGCACATGGTGGTCCTTAAACAGAGAAATTATATTATTGTGAAATATCACTTTTACAAATTTTAATTTCAGAAAGTTTGTTTTAAAAGTATTTTAATATATAAAGACACTGTTGAAGTTAAATTAGTTTTAAAACTAGCTTTTATTTTTTAATATACAATATACCGTTTATTTACTTATTTGTTTGTTTGTTTGTTTATTTATTTGGGGTTTTTTGGCAGTGAAGGTGGGATGGGAGAGTATGTGGTGCTTTACCTAAGAAATTAGTTTCACTTTAACAATTTTTAAATTTCAGAAGGTCAGAGAGTTATTTTTAAAAGTACTTGATTATATAAAGTTATTATTGGAGTTAAATTAGTTTAAAACTAACTTTTGTTGTTAAATAAACAATGTACAATCTATTTATTTATTTATTTATTGATTGATTGATTGATTGATTGATTGCAGTCAAGACAGGGGCAGGAGCACATGGTGGTACTTAAACAGAGAAATAATATTATTGTGAAATATCGCTTTTACAAATTTTAATTTCAGAAAGTTTGTTTTAAAAGTATTTTAATATGTAAAGACACTGTTGAAGTTAAATTAGTTTTAAAACTAGCGTTTATTTTTTAATATAAAATATGCCATTTATTTATTTATTTGTTTGTTTATTTATTTTGGGGGTTTTTTTTGGCAGGGAAGGCGGGACGGGAGAGTATGCGGTGCTTTACCCAAGAAATTATGTTTCACTTTCACAACTTTTAAATGTCAGGAGGTCAGAGAGTTATTTTTATTTTATTTTTATTTTTAAATATTTTAATATATAAAGAGATTGTTATTTTTAATGCACAGTATATTTATTTGATTTGATCCGTTTTGTTTTTTAGTTTTAATATTGATTTTATGTTATTTTATTTATTTATTTTTGCGACGAGCACAGGGGCGGGAGCAGTGACGAAAGCTCGTGAGCTCCGACTTGTGTACGTTTGGACCATTTCTGCTAGCAAGCGGTAAAAATGATGGACAATATGGCGCCGGGTATGGATTTAGCTTCTGGATCTGTCGTTGTGTAATAGACCGGCGATCCGACAGGATGAACCTCTGCGCCCAGTATTTACGGTAAGCAAGCATCGGAAACAACTAAGCGCCGATTTTGTGCTGAAGTTTGCGGATCAGGTGTCTGATTTTGATTCTGGGAGCGTTACCTCGACCAGCTAGCATCACCGACCGAGCCACAGGCGGCTGACTGACGCGCTAGCTAAATATGCTACGTGCCAGTGACCATAAACATGGTGCTAGGACGTGTTTAGAATCAGTTAGCTAGATGAACCCGGGTCAGAGCGCGGCTTTGTGAGTAAGACGTCTGTATTTCCACATGTTTTGGTTCGAGGGTTCTGATATTCTAGACTAGTTAACAGCTGCTGGTTAAGCTAGCTAACGTTAACTTTCGGAGGCTTAGCCTGGATGGCTAATGTTAGCAAACAAACAAACAACACACCGCGTAAGGGTGTCTCTACCAGACATTCGGGTCATATCTCGTTAGATATAGTTTTGTCATAAAATACGGACGTTTAGCTGCTTTAAATGTTCATTTGGACATTTGTTTCTGTTTGAGGAGCCGGTTTCACTTAGCTACACTATAGCTAGTTAGCTTAGCTAGCTAACTAGCAAGCGAGCTAACTTACCTAGCTAGCTGGTCACCTGGCTGGCTTTCTGATTTCGCTTTGTGCTTGAATTTCGTGTATTCGAGTTAGTCCATGTATTAACGTGTTAACTGCATTCAGAATTTGTGACCTTCAAAACAGGTTGGTGGGTTTATTTGAATGTTATCTAACGCTAATTCTGTTTGGTGTCAGATAAACATCTCGCCGGGTATCCGCGACATCAGGAGTCTGGTCTCCTCCGTTTTGCTTGTGTCCGTAACGCTGCTGCTGTGGTGGCTCATATGAGCTCCGTATCTTCAGTCCGTTGACATTGACCCTGGCAGCTGTCTAGCTGACCGCTACTTGTTGGTAAGGGACCATTAGCTTGCTGTGTAGCAAGGTTAATCGTCATGGGCACCTTTCTGAGCAAGCTATCCAGACTGAGCGAGGGGACGTCTGTCATGATGCTGAGTGAAACGCTTCTCGTTGGCCTGATAACCTTGAGAATTCATAGTGTTCGGATAACTTGGTTAATGAGATCAGTTTGTGAATGAGGTTCTGTTTATGTGCGGTATAGCCAAATATAGCCAACCATAACTGTAAAACCATAAACCACGAAAAGGCTGGCAGCTCGCAGAGCAACACTGGTCGGATGTCTATAGCTGGATGACATGCTGCTCTGAATAGTTAAATATTCTGGTTCTAGCTGTCGAGGCTGGTGGCAGGTCCTTTCAGCTGAAGGCATATTGAAGTTCTTGGGTAACAAGTGTCCTTCCACATTAGCCCATCTTATGTAATGTACACTCTTAAAAATGGTTATTTGATGGTAAGTAGAGACAATATTAAGAACCATGACTTCTGTATAAACTCTAAAAATGGTTCTTGGGTTCTTTTAGAAAACACAATGGCTCTGTTTGCAACCATTTGTGTGCTAACTGTTCCAGTTAGCGCTGTACTTTTGACTGGCTCGTCTTGTCGGAGATGAAATCACCTGAGTGTGAACAGAACAACCATCCGTCATGAAATTTTCATGCATTGACATTTTCTTGGCCTGAGTTTCTCAAGAAGAGCGTGGAAATTGATCTTTTGGTTTAAAGGGGAATTCCATGGGTTTTCCAAAATTTCTGCATAATTCAGTGGTTGAGATGTAAACAAAGTCATTCAGGGTGGTTTGATGTGAAAGGCTTCACATGTAGAGAAACTTAATGACTCTAAATTCTTTTTACCGTGGTGGCGATAGGAACCAGGGGTCACAATGTCTACAACACAGGTATAATTATTTTATTTACCATCCAAAACCACTAATGTGTCGACACTTGTCTTCCGAGTTTTTATACATAATGTTGATGATGATAAAAAGTCGTAAATCTGAAAAAAAGAGTTTTTATTGGGGTCTGTTTTGCCCTAGAACACCCTTTATGTACCCATCCAAATTGAAAGGATTAAAATAAATTTATTAACAATACGTTTTAGGCCAAAGCATCATCACAAAAATAATGTATAGCAATGTCTCGGACATCAGGCAGCGTAGTCATAACCATTTCATGTAACAGCTTTCTGTGAGGGGATTTTAGACGTGGACGTCTGGTTCCTATCACCACCACTCTGAACAATTCTGACTCTACGTTTCTCTAGAATGGAGCATTTCACACCAAACCGCTCAAAATGACTTTGTTTATATCTCATCCATTTAATTATGCAGGAATTCAGAAAAATTGGTGGAGTTTTTCCCCACATTTCTGCATTATTCAGTCATTGGGATGTAAACAGTTGTTTAGAGTGTTTTGATGTGATGACTTAGATTGTAGAAGAACTTGCCGACTTTTCTTTACAGTAGTGGTGATAAGAACCAGCGGTCATGATGACTGCAGCACAAATATAGCTATTTAATTTACTGTTCAGTATGACCAGTGAACGTACACATGTCTTCTGACATAATTTGTATATTATATATACTGTTGGCAATAAAATAGTGGTGAATCTGCAAAAAAAATAAGTTTTCCTTGGGAGCTATTTTGCCTTACAGCACCCCACGAGTCCATCTCTGCCATAAATGTATAGTAACAAAAGTTTTATGCCAAAACCTTCTCAAAATTGTCATAAAACAATGTCTCAGACATCAATCATTTAATGTAATAACTTTCTGTGATGTAGCTTCATAGGGAGTAAACTCTTCAGATATTTGTTTTCTTTTGCTACCACTATGAACAATTCTTGGTAAGTTTCAAAACAGTCCACTGTAAAAGTTTGTTTACATCTTAATGATTACACTTCCACTTCAACATGTTGTCACAACACACCAGCCTTGGATTGAACTTGAGAAAACGGGCTGCCGCTGTTTGCTGCGTGTCTGAATGCAAACCACACATGCCGTGTTCTCGGATGCAAAGCTGTGGTCTTCATTACATACAGTGTGAACAAACTATCTGCCATACTGCTATAAAACATTCATCCAATATTTAATTGGCAACTTCATACCTTTCCTGATAATGCTCGAAACACGTCTGTGAACTGTACAGCTGAGTCAACATGCTTTGGTTATGCTGTGAGTCTGTTATAGAGTTACTGTGCTAGTTTTCTGCTAAAAGGTATTCTAAATTGCTTCAGCAAATACAAGAACAATTCATTTTCAAATTAAAACAATAAACCTAGTAGCTAGTGCCCAAATGATATGGAAATTGCTGATACGGAAGGAGCTGGAAATTCTGTTAACTAACTGATGTATCTTTGTCATTGTTAACACATTAATGATGTGTTAAGGCGAAAAATGATCAACGCTGCTAATTTTACCACGGTTAATGCAATTTCCTAGACCTGAAGCCTTTTTTATTGCATGCTGTACTTATTTATTTATTTACTTTGTTAGTTAGTTACTTAGGCCTATCCCATTTCACTTATTGCCCATATCACTTAGTCCTACCCCTCCATTTTGTGCGTTCATGCCTAGGGGTAGGGTGTCCCGAAGGTGTCTTCGTTTTCGAACATTTCTCCAGTTTGCTACAGGCAACCTCAAAAGGTTCTATGTTGGCATATTGGAAACATAGCAAACTTCGTCATGGCTTTTACATAAAAAAAGTATCTGGTTCTTGAAGGGTTCTCCCATTTTGTAGGGGAAGATATCAACCACTACCCCTTGGAACTCTGCAAGGGGTAAAAATAAGGGATAGGGATATAAATAAGAAATGGGATTCAGCCTTGGTTGGTTACTTGGTTGGTTACTTGGTTGGTTACTTGGTTGGTTACTTGGTTGGTTACTTGGTTAGGTTCTGCGGCCCACTCCGCCACTGTACTCTTCTATTCAGATGCAGCTTTTAGATGGCAAGTTCCATTATCGCTCTCTTGATGAAACCAATGTTATTTCCATCTACTGTCATGCTGTGAATTTGTTTATCACTGAAGTACTTTGAGTCTGAATTAGGGCTGGGTGATAAAATGACAATTATCGCGATATAACTTTTCCTCGATAGAGCGATAAGAAATGTTCGTAAATTTTCGATATAATACACCATTCTCACACTTCCATGTTCTAGCGACAGCCGTGGCGTTTTCTACTGCAAGGAAAGCGGCACTACTGCCACGAGAAGGCGCACTTCCGAGTTTTTCGACATGATTGGGGGGCGACGAGTAAAAGAAGTCACCAAATATACTTTAGCAACGTCTAAAACTATATTATATATTATATATATTCCCCGTTTGAGTGGAGCGACCGGCGATATGTTCTCCTGTGACCAAGTGCGAGTGACGAGATAAGTGGTGTAACTGTACTGTCCTTCAGTGAACTCACCTCTTTCCATACATCCTAACAAACTTTAGCAGCGTTAAATCACATATGCTCTTCACAATAACAGCGCAGTTAACTATAGCACTCAGTCATATTTTACTGTTAGTACATTTCCAAGCAACGAAAGTGAAAGAAAGAAGTGGGTTCATGTTAGTTACAGCCCTGATTTAAATGCAAGTAAACTGAGGAAGCTGTTAGGCATTGGAAAGCAGAAGAGCGATATCTTTCTAGGCTACCTGTTTTTAGCAGCTGGCTAACTTGAAGCAGCGCACCGTCACTCGCACAACACGGCGAATTAATGGTACTGAAGATCAAACAAGGCAAAAAAAGCCCTGTTTTCAGTTTAAATATACCTAAAAGGAGGACTCTGTTTGTCTGGTGCAAGATTCGTGCTGCAATTAATGCTTTTACACAGCAAGCACCAGATATTCTGCGGTTCACCCCTCAAACTACTGTGAGAGATATCCAGTCGTCTGCTAGCTGGTGTTTGAATACTGTGGCGGTGTGATCCATCACTGACGTACTGAGCCAGCTAATGTTTGCTGTTCGTACTAAGTTGACGTTGTTGAGAAACTAAACAGTTTAGCACTTGTAACCAGGTAGCCTAGCGCTTGTCATCAGACAGCTAAAAACAATCTGTTTTCTTTCTTAAATTATGACTATTAGAAAAATTGCCGCTGTGCTTTTCCAGCTGGTAAAAACAGCCAACCAGACACTTTCTTCCACTCACCCATGACAGATTTGTGAAATTTTCTTCTGTTTGGCGTGTGTTTGTCATGTTCCGACCATAAATGATAGTTTAAAACAGCAACTGACCACTCGGGAGCAAAAATCAGCCTTCAAACTTGCAAAAAATATTAATTTGACATTTTTCGCGATATATATCGATATCGAGCGATATGAAAATTTTTATTGTGATAAGATTTTTGGACATATCGCCCAGCTCTAGTCTGAATTATCATTTACAACTAAAACATAGTGCTGATGCGGCAATGTCAGTAAGCAGACTATGTAACACTGGACAGTACTTATGGGAGAGAAGCTAACAAAAGCAGTAGCAAAGTGGAAAGCTCCAGGTCCCCTCAAAGCAAGGTGTAGTGTTGTGTTATAAGAGCGAGAAGCTATTATGCTGGAGGAGTTGGAACTGGTCTCTGTTGCTCTCAGTGGATATTGGTGATTAATCACAACAGTGTTCAGCTTATTCTCATGTTCACTCTGCAAAAATGTTATTGAACTGTTGAGGTAATAAATACATGATGAATCTTATGTCTACTCATAACTGTAACCAAATGCACTTTTTAGATAGAAAAAAGGGGCAAATTTGAGCAAATAAGACTGAGCAAAGAATTAATTGCTGTCATTTCAAGCGATTCACAGCCCTAATTTTTCTTTTTATGTTTTAGATTTGTTGTTATCTTTCAATAGGTTTTATTAAGTCTTCTCAATTGTCACGCTACTTAAACTCACATACCAGAAACTACAGCTTGATATAAAGGTTTTAGCACTGGGGTTATGAAAAGTTGCAGATCATTGGCAGTATTTTTGCCAATACCAGTACAACCAAGCATCATCAGTATTGCTCCTGTATCAGTTGGGTCCTACTACTAATGAAATATGATGGATATACATGGTATTAACATCTGAAAGAAGCATTCTAGCAACTGTCAGCAAGCCAGCTAGTGTTTGCCTTTAGTAAACATCTTAATCAACACCTCTGAATTATAAGCCAGCTGTTTATGTTAACAAGGATACCACAACAGTAAAAACCACATAAAGACCTAGTGTTGCAGTAATGTTAGTCTTGAATATGGCCCTACAATCATGTTTTATTAGGTGGGTTACTCTGCAAGTATTATGAAATGCTCTGACTATTGATTGGTGTGAGAACAGAATCCCTGACTTGGTGCTTTTTTTAGGTGGCTTATTGTCTCTTTTGTTGGTTGTATAAATATCTGTTTATGGAAGTGTTGTGTTTATTCTTCATTTGCTAACCTGTTTTTTCTCTTTCTGAGTAGGCAGGCAGAGGCCCTGAAGGCTGACATGACAGGTATGTACAAATGTTCATGACACTATTTTCCTGTAAATGACTTCTATGGTTTGCAGACATGATACCTTGAAAAAATAAAACTGAAGTTTGTTTCTTATTTTGCTGCCACCTTGTTGAAATTTTGTTACTTACATTCTGTTGCCTGTTAAATAAGAAGCCAGCTTGAGTCTTATTTAATGGACTTCTTTGTATCTCCATTTTTTTTATGCCATTTGCTATTTACTTTGTTAAATATGAATCAAGAACAGAATAGAAATGCTTAAAAATGACTCTCAAAAAAATCTTTTAACATTAACTTACATTAAAAACGTCTCCCTCTCATTTTTGGAGATACTAGAATTGGTTCAGACAGATGATATGAAAGAATATTAGTATATGCAAAAGTAGCTGCTTTCACTTTGTGTTGGCTTTCTGTATTTCTGTATTTTTGTCATCTCTGTTGCATTCTGGTGGCACTGAATGTGGTTGCTAAGAGATCCATGTCTGCTGGCTGAAATGCTTTGCTTCTTAAGGCAGTTTTCCACCGGCTAGTGCGGCACAGTTGCAAAGCTGTGATCACATGTTTTGTCATCATTTCCGCTGCTAAGTGAGCCTTACCGTACCAGAGCACCCGTACTGAATTTGGTTACTCTTCTAGTCGGGGTACCAAGTGTACCGGATAGGGATGTATGGGTGGAGCCAGAATTTACTGTTGACACTGATCTAATATAGTAGTATAATAAGAATATATATCTGGGGACAACTTGTAGAACCTTTGGCGCTGGACTGTGCCAAAATCAGCAGCTAACAAGGCTACACCCTTTCAAAAACCCCCTGCCAAAATCCCCTAATCTGTGTTCTGTTCATTTCTGGTAGGAAAACAAGTTATCCAAATGTTATTGTTAGCTAGCAGAACTGTTTTTCACTTGCCAGAGCTAATTTTTAACACACATAATGTGTTCTCACAGTTTAGGTCAAATTCTTTTGACCTAAGTTTGTTGTTAACTGACAAACCTAAAATCACAGAGACAGCAAAACATTTTATATAAACAAGTCTTTAGATTTTTGTATTGGTTGCAGTAGTCCTGTAAAAACATGTAGGATGGTTTAGTCTCTGCTTTATCCCTTTATACATGGCTCTTGCGCCATCAGTTAAAATTAAGTGGGGTTGAGGACTCGACTCCAGCAGCAGAAGTTGAGAGTTGGCGTCGACTCCAGAAAAGCCAGAGCTGTACATCACTACAGGTTGGGCTACCAGAACAAGTTGCATGCATACAAGTCAAAACCGGTCCACAAGTTGAACGGAAGGAGTCGCCTACTTAAATATCTATTGTTTATTGGAAATTAATGAATCAAAAGCATTGGTGAAACATCTGTGTGTTTGCTGGTTAATGGTTAACTATTTACACCCCTGCTTTTTTGGAGGTTTTTGGAAAGACATTTCAGCTGTCCTGACTTATTTTCCAGGCATGAGCTTAAGGAAGGCTTGTTGTCTGTTGGACCATGTTGACAAACATGCCATCGCCCACTACTTTGAGCTCCATCTTCCTGAATCATTGGACTGATTTTTGAAATTTCATACTCAGTTGGTTTGCACCCTATTAAGTCTTTGTCAATCTATTTTTTAGCCCAAAATTTCTCATGGTTGTCCCCAGATATTCTCCTTATGAAATCATGTGTGGGCCGAGAGACTATTGATAACACTAGCGTGAGAAAGCACTTCGCAACCTCCAGAAAACCCTGCCTACTGTGATGTGTTTCTCATTGTGATATATAGGACTGTGCAGAAAGGTAGCAGACATGCTATTAAATGTGGTGCTTCCTCTATTCTTTAGATTCTAAGCTTGGTGCTGCAGAGGTGTGGACATCACGGCAGGCTCTTCAGGACCTGTACCAGAAAATGCTGGTGACAGACCTGGAGTATGCCCTGGACAAGAAAGTGGAGCAAGACCTGTAAGGAAAACAAGTAGCTTATTGTTAACTTCTAAAGTTTTCAGATGGGGTGTTTTATGCTGTGTATTGAGGCTGAACATCGAGTATGCTTCTCCCATCAGTCTGAATATTGCAGCATTGAATTTGAGTGCATTTTGAGTGTGTTTAAGATGTTTTTCATGTGTGAATCTTGTACAATCTTTCCCAAAAACTTTTCAGCTGGAACCATGCCTTTAAGAATCAGATAACATCACTACAGAGTCAGGCCAAAAACAGAGCCAATCCGAATCGAAGTGAAGTACAGGCCAATCTCTCCCTTTTTCTTGAGGCAGCTAGTGGATTCTACACACAGGTGGGTCATTATGAATAGTGACTGTATGTGAATTATGAATAATGATTTTATCAGCTCAAGCTCACGCTGTGGCAGTTCTTACTGAAACCTTGTGTGGTCATAAATTTATGATTTGTAAGCATTTAAGAATTTCAGGACTTGCTTCATAAAGACATAAATACATCTCTCTTTCCTCAGTTATTACAAGAGCTGTGCACGGTGTTCAATGTGGATCTGCCTTGTCGTGTGAAATCATCTCAACTTGGCATCATCAGCAATAAACAGAGCAGCACCAGCGCCATAGTGAAACCACAGCCCAGCTCCTGCTCCTATATCTGCCAGCATTGTCTCGTCCACCTGGGGGATATTGGTGAGTCTGCACAGAGTGTGCTTTTCGAGTCACTTCAATAAAGGCGTCTTCCTTCGTCAGAGAGCAAGAATTCTGAAGAAGTCGACTCCCCACTTACAAAGTCATAGTCTGTAAAGTTGTTGTTTAGTGAACTTGACATGTTTGACTGAAAGATGAAGAAACAAGGGCTTGTTTTGTTTTGTGCTGACAGTCTTTTTCTTTTTTTCTTTTTTTTTTCCCTTCCATAGCGCGTTATCGCAACCAGACCAGCCAAGCAGAGTCTTATTACCGACACGCAGCTCAGCTTGTTCCCTCAAACGGTTGGTCACTGTTAGTTATTGTATGCTCTCCTCACCTTGAAGTTTTCACCCCTTGCACAGTGCTCCCTGGCACCAAACAGTGGTGTCAGCACACTGATTTCACCTGCAGTTCTATTTTAAGAAAGTCAGTAGCACTACCTGTTTTAAGTCTGGAATCGTAACATGTGTAGTAATAGGTTTGTAAGAAGGATCCTTATTTATTTATTTATTTATTTATTCATTCATTCATTCATTCATTCATTCATGGATTGACTGATTGATTGTCCGTCTTCGTTGCCAGGTCAACCTTACAATCAGTTGGCCATTCTGGCCTCCTCCAAAGGAGACCACCTCACAACAATCTTCTACTACTGCAGAAGCATTGCTGTCAAGTTTCCCTTTCCAGCAGCTTCCACCAACCTGCAGAAAGCGCTATCGAAAGCTCTTGAGAGGTATGAAATGCATTTATAAAAATCAAACCAAATTGTACTATTATGGAATTGATTTTTATTTCTAGCAACATACAGAAGATGGATGGCAGTGGTCAATTATCTAAAAAAGATTGGTTAGTTTACAGAATGTAATGTGTGCTGTGGTGTTAGTTTTAAACCGGGCTCTCACTGTACTGTGGCTCTTTTATTCTGCAGCCGTGATGAGGTCAAAACGAAATGGAGCGTGTCTGATTTCATTAAGGCCTTCATCAAGTTCCATGGCCATGTTTACTTAAGCAAAAGCCTGGAGAAGCTCAACGCCCTGAGGGAGAAGCTGGAGGAGCAGTTTCAGGTACTACCACATAGGCAGGCATCTGCACCTTGCTCAGCACCACTAACACCTCGTCCTAACAGCAAGCAAGCTCAAATGTAGTGTCATGCAAGGGCCAAGATAAGAGAGGGAGGCTGGACTTGGAAACCAGGTCTCCCCAGATTTCAGGTTGTTGAAAGTAAAGTTCTGCGATGACAGTGAAAATAATATAAAATCTAAGGTCGTCATGCGCAAAGGTGCTCAGTTCTTGCAGCCTCATGACCTTAAATCAATTGGATGCTGACAAAGCACTTCTTTGATCTTACTGCTGCCTTCACCATGGCAACATATACACAGCTGCATACCACAGTCAGTCGTGTACACCAATTCTGTAAAAAAGGCACAGAACCACACGTTTTTCCAATTCCAGTATTTAAACACAGCACAGCGGAGCTGTGCTAGTTCCTAGATGCTACTTACTTAACTAGCTACTTAACTGTGTTTTTCCCCTTTAAACTAGAGAAACAGTGCTAAATCACAAGTTCAACCTACAGCGTAAATTTATAGAATACATGCTTACCTTTTCCAATGCCTCTTTCATGTTTGGAGTTTGTAAAGTGCTCTTTTGTAACTATGGACAGAAACTGCCAAGAGAACTTTCTTATAGTAGCAGTGTTCCATAAAAACACACAGGGAATCTGCCTTGGGGGAAAAAAGGGCATAACTTGAAAATAAAACTGAAAAGTTACGCTTAAAAACTTTAGATAACTTGTATTTTAGGCCGAAGTGTTTTCTGTAGTTTTATAGTTTGTGTGGTGTTTAATTTTTTTTTTCGATAACATTTTAGGACTTTCTTTTTCATTAAAAGGTAAAAAATTAGTGCTACTGTGGTTTTATGGGTCAATTCATGAATATAGTGTGTAATAATATTTATTGTATGACCTTTTATTAGCTGAGGTTGCGCTGAATGGGGATATACAACACTTTATGGTTCTGTCAAGAAAAAATTTAAAGTGCAAAATTCAAACGTATGCAGAGGTGGGTGTGTCCAGTGTAGGTCATAAAGGTTTAACATTAGCCAGTTAAATGCAAGCAAGCAATGATGCGTTAATTTTCAGTTTTGTTTTATGGTAAGGAGCAGGTCATTTTCTTATTTTTAGCTACAATGAAGTAGGCTAACTTTGCTGGTGGTTAAATCTTACTATAGTGATGTCTCTAGGACTTAGTGCTTTATGGCTGGGCCCCCAACCTGTAACCATAAGTTGTTTATGGCTATTTTAACTGCCTTTTGATAAAGTCCCTGGCTGAACTGCCATATTTTTGTTAAGGTGGAGCATCAGTGCAGCATCTAAAAAATGGAAACATGGCATCCATTACAAAATGGCACACCGGGACGGTTTTCAATATGGCTGGCATAGACAGTTTCATTATTTATAATCACGTTGTTTTAAGACTTATTCATGTTGGACAAGGTGTAAATCTCCTCTATCAACTCCCACTGAGCACAGTTTTGCAGTGTTGCTCAGCCATTGGTCTGTGAATAACTGATATAATACCTTTGTCGTTGTAAAGTGAGATTTTATGACTGCCTGAGTTTGATGCTTTATACTGAGAATAAAGAGTGGTCGAGTGACAAATACATTATTGATAACGCAGCAGTGCAATATTCGGCAATAATGCAAGCACCAAGCCAGTAGGGGTTTCAGTAGACTTTATTTCATGGATTTTCTTGATCTCTTCTGATCGTTGACTCCCCGCTCAGATTACATGATGGCAAATGCTTGGTCAGTGTGGTAACAGAACACCACCAGCCTCACTTTGTTGTTTGTTGGCTTTGTCCTTCAGAGGCTGATTCTCCAGAAGGCCTTCAGCTCTCAGCAGCTGGTCCACATCACGGTTATCAACCTGTTTGAGCTACACCACCTCCGAGACTTCAGCAACGAGACTGACGACCAGAGCTTCAGCTCGGATGAGCAGATCAGCTGGATACAGCTCCTCGGCCTTTTCAGTACGTGGCTCCAATGTTCTCTATGTCTGACGTATGTGTGGATTTGGATGCTGTCTCCGTCTGGAGGCTGAGTCAGGCATAGTTTGAGCAGCAGATTGCTCTTGCGGTGTTGTCGGGCCCGAGAGTAGTCACGAAGCAGCGATATCACATCTTGAGCAATGACAGACAAAAAGCTGCGTCAGTATGCTGTGGATATGTTTCAAAACTGCGGGTAAACATGGAGACCGATAGAGTGAGAGATATCGTCTGTATAGATGTTGTGTTTGTCATTAAAAAAGCATTTATGTAACATCGGTCATTTTCTGCAAAGATCTAATCGCACACCATGAGTTGCAAGTGAATCTGTTATCATGATTGTTAAATAGGAAAGAAGTCAGAGACGTTTGAATCAACTTTCTGATGATCATAAAGCTGAATTTAATCACAGCAGAGGATGTCACTGACATTATCTGCAGGAGCTCGCTAAGGTTAATTATTTATAGCGTTTTGTTCCTAGTTAGTCCCTAGACTAGTGTTGTGGTGCTGGTTCATGATCAAAAATAGTTTAATGGTCTGTGATAATACTTAACACAGTTGCCAAATTAAACATTAAAATAAAACTTAAATTTGTTTGTAATTGATATGATGGCCATAAAATAGCTGGGTCCCTTTTTGTCACAAGGTATGTTTTTAGTTTTTTAATTTTAATAGAATAAAATGGAGCAAAACAGACCAATCAAAACAAGCTATGTCAGGTTTGTAAGGCTTTTAGTATAAAGTGGACGTACTTGGAAAGCATGGACGCTTCATTAATATCATCTGATGCCAAAGTATATTCTGAAAATATGTTGATATTGAATTTAATCAATATCGCCCTGTGCTACAGTTAACTAAATACATGAGAGTGAACACACTCTGCTTTCTTACGATAGGCATTAGTCAACTGTATCAGTACCTGATACTTGATGCACACTCTACTGTGTAAACATGCCCTTTAGGCCTTGGTTTGTGACTGTGTTGTAACGTATGTTGCTGTCACTCCAGTGTCTTTCCTAGGTGTGATGTGCAGCCGAGCCTTACTGAATAAGAACCAAGAGGAGATCATGGGGGAGTGCCCACTTCCAGCCATCAAAGTGTCCCTGGATTGGCTGAAGCTGCGGCCTGGTGTCTTTACTGAGAGTGCTGTTGACCAGAGGCAATAGTATGGAATGCTTCCTGTTCTTTTGCTTTGTTGGAGTATTCTGGATTGTTTTTTTTAATATGAAAATCTTGTGCAGAGATATTCTGCTTAGCGGTAAATGTGAAGCCGATAAATCCAGCTGGGTCATTCTACAGAAACGTCCATTTTTGTGTCCCCAGCGTTTGCAAGTATATTACACTTATATGGGTGAGGCCATATTTTGAACAAAAAAAACATGTTTTTCTGCAGTTTTAACTACAATAATCTATACGTGACTATGAAATATATAAATTAAATGACACACAGAAAACAAATAGCAAATAAATATTATAAAATATATCATTAAAGTTGTTGTCCCCAGGAGTCTTGTCATTGGTGTTACCGCGTAACAAAACATCTCTTATTTTGAAATAAAAATCACACCGATGACATCACTTGACTTCCTTTTACCAATTTTCTGGGGATCTATGAAAAAAGCACAAGTCCACTGTGTCTTTCAGTTATCAGAGACTTTCTCATTTAGCTCATGATTTCATATGAAGCTTTTAGTTTTAGTCACTGGTGTGACCGACTTTATTCTTAGGAAAAAATAGAATAGAAATGGAGTAAGTTACATATTTTAGTGGATATTCCATGATTGACAACGTGTGGTTTGATGCTCTGGAGCAGCCATTTTGTAAAATGCATATATCATTAAAAATATCTCTGGTGTTACCTTTATTATGTTTAACACCAATGAGGATTGGTAACACCAGTGACTCCTATGGATAGATAGAAAAGTGGACGTTTCTGTAGAATGACCCAGCTGTGTTTTGCTCCAAAGGATTTTGTGTGGAAAGCACTGTAATCCTACAGTATGTAAAGAAACAGCATGATGAAGTCCTTTCTAAATTCATAGAAACATGGTCTCTTGTGTAATGATTCCCATGGGGAAAAATAAATAAAATAAAATTTCCTTGTTAATAGGTTATGGCAAAGTCAAGAAGCCCTAGGTACAACAAGGAATTAGAGATTAAAATACAAAATTTAAATGTCAATTTTTTTAAATAGATAAACCCAAATTTACACAGCAACAGTTTTTCTGCAGGAAATGACGTATTTTTATTGCTAAAAGTGAATTTGGAAAATTAGCAAAATCAGTAATATTCTGTTTATTTATTTATTACATATTTTTTATTTTATGGCTTGCAATTTGTGCAGAAAGTTGTATTTGTCATGTTGTTAAATTGGTGTTTTGATTCTTCCCCACAGTATTTGGCCATGGCTGGTGTCTGTTCTTAACAGCTTCCAGCCGAAGGAGGAGGATGTGTCAAATCCATCAGGTAACGTGTGGCCATAGCTTGCATAATAACTTGTTTTTATTTCTTTGTGTGATAGTAATGGCAATACTTGCGTCTTACACTGTCTATCTGGTTCTGTTACAGCAACTCCACTCCCAGAAGAGTTTGAGCTGCAAGGCTTTCTAGCTCTCCGGCCTGCCTTAAGGTAGCTTTCCTTATAAATGTGTCATAACTGGACTGTCGCCAAAGCGTTTGCATTATTGGACGGTAGTCAATGACCCTTTTAAGACTTTGAAGTTTTGTGGATGTTGCTATCTTGTTCTTATGATCAGTTCTCATATGAATCCTTTTTGATGATGATCCAGGTTGCTGGACTTTTCCAAGGGACACCAGGGCATTGCGGTTGGCAAAGACAGCCTCATAGTTCATGCCCGACAGCAGAGACTCATCAACTTGGGCAAGTGGGTAGCAGACAACCAGCCTGGGTGAGTTCACTTACTGTTTCATTGTTTTTTCAGTTTCACTTGTTTCATTTTCTTTTGTTGGTACAATTTGGTTTTACTCTGATTGTTTTTACCTATGCATTGTACTGTACTTGAGTGTTTAGGTATTTATTTATTGTTTTTTGTAATGAAGACTTCAGTAATTCAGTAGTTTTTTGTTTTTTTGGTTTACATGGATTTAGAGAACAAGGAGCAAAGCCATTACAAACAGCAATCATTTGAAAGTGATATGTTAAATAATAGATCATGTTGAATCTCATCACCTGATCTGCCTGGAATCTTTGGACAAGATTGCTGCTTTCAGTTAGGCCTACTCAGACAAACTCGAGTTACTCTGCTCTTTGTCCCCAGTCTGATCCAATGCCGCATCAATGACGGCTTGCTCCTCTTCCTCACGGATATCCCCGAGCTGGTGGTGGAGGAGCCACAGGAGAAGGACCCTCCCGTTCTGCAGGAGTCGTCCAATGGCGAGCAGACCTCGTATGATGGATCGCTTGGCCTCAAGTCAGTGCTTTCGGTGGGGAAGAGCCAGAACAGCAGCCTGGATCCTGGCGAGAGGCCCGTGGTCACGTTCAAGGAAAACATCAAACCGCGTGAGCAGAGCCGAGAGCAGGGCCGCAACCAGCACCAGAGGGATGGAGGCAAGGAGCGAACCAGCTTCAACAAAGGCAATGGAGCTCCAGGAAAGAATGAGCAGAAGAAAGAGGGCAAGCGGAAGAGTGAAGCAAAGAAGAACAGCCACGAGAAAGCGTCTGATGCAGGGAAACAGGTTAGAGAAGTTACAATTAGTCAGAATTTTCAAATAGCTTTAAAAGATGAAAATACTTAAATAGTACACTTAAATAATTTAGGTTTTTCTAGTGTAAATATATTTCCATATTTAAGAATAATAAGATGTCTATACAGAGGGCAGTAAAGAACCTGCAGCTTATGTTTTGGTCAGAGTTTTGTTTTATCCAAAGGAGGAAGCATAGAAATACTACTGCAGCTGTCTAAAGGCATGGATAGTACAAAGCACAGCAATAAGTTTTAGGAAAACATAGAAATACACAGATAAAGTTGATTTTACACTGAACTTGTATAGATTTGAATAGGAAGATCGGTGCTTTTTCAGATGCTGCATGGTCGTACTGCAGAACATCTTGTAATTCCCTGCTCAACATGCAGCTGATTTAACTCAGCAGTTTTCATGTTTAATTGGTATTTTAACATGAGAAATATGTGGTCGTAATAATGATGGTAGGGATTAGAATTATTTTTTCAAAATTTCTGATAGCTTGACAAAAATCTGCAATTTTTAGGTTTAGTTGGTATTTCATTAATTGGTATTGCAGAAGGCCCTCCAGAACCAAATTTGATGACACCACCTTTTTATGGAACTTAAATTTTTCATTTCAGTTTAATTAATGTTCTCCGCTTTGCTGATTTCTGTAAAGGTAAAATCTCAGTCTGAAATGAGGAAGACTCCAGTGTCAGAATCGAGGAAGACCCCAGTCACACAGACTCAGACTACCTGCTCTTCACAGTTTATCCCCATTCATCATCCAGGAGCCTTCCCCCCTCTCCCCAGCCGGCCAGGTATGTATGTATACACAGGCACACACTTGTTCATTCACATGACTTGGTGCAGCAACATCAAAGTGAAACTGATCTTGAATAGTTAATGGCCCTTAAAACGAGCACAGATTTGACTGCCCTGAATGACTTATGAACTACTCTGTGTCTAATTCAGGAAACTGTATTGCAACGATAAAACAAGCAGGGCAGTGCATGGCTGCCTCTAACTGACCAAAGCTTAAATATGTCTAAATTGAACATTAAATTACAATGACTGAGAAGAATAAAATGTAGACTTGAGCAAAATCTAGCCTTCTTTTTTTTTAGATGGTTGAGTAATGTGATTATATAGCGTGATTATTTTCATACAACACTGGCTGCTTGAGCGATAATAAAGGTGGCTGCTGTTGAGCTGTTTATAAAACAAGTCTTTAAATGGTACGTATAGTTGCGGTATTTGTTTATCAGTGTGTACATTAAATGTACAAGTACAATGTACATTCGCTTTAGTACAAGAATTAGTGAGTTAGTCATTAGTGTTATCATTTTCTATTTTTTTACTGTTATTGCTCATATTGTGGAAGTTTTTGACAATTTTAATGATTTAACTGCAAATCGGACATTTTTCAGGCTGTTAAAATATCAAGCTCAAATTTTACACCCACTTCTTCCAGACATACATATGATTGTACATATACAGCGAATATGAAATGAACGAATATCAAAACTGTCTCTGAAATTTGCGTTGGCTCATTTTACGATCAGATATAATTGGTCACAACTTTTGATGAATTAAGCCCAACCCTCTCATCACACACCCACTCCAGCAGTGCACACTCACTCATTAATGAACGGAAGACACAGCAGCATCTTCAAAGTGAAACTGATCTTGATCCATTAATAACTTAAGAAGTCTGAGATCTGTGGTCACATGGGAAACACCACACCTTTTTAACAATTAACAAGCAGAAAAGTTTTTTTTTCCTGTATTGATTTGAGATGCTGACTGCACTGCCTTATTTACAATGAGGTACTTATTTCCTTTCCTCTCTTTACACCAGGTTTTCCCCCACCAGCGTATGTGATCCCACCCCCTGTGGCTTTCTCCATGAACCCAGGGTTCACTTTCCCTACAGGTGTGTCTGTTACCACCCCCTTTCTGCAGCCTGCCTCCCACCCTCAGTCTGCCAGTCAAGTGGCATCTGGTAAGCCCTCGCACATTCCCTACAGCCAGCAGAGGCCCTCTGGCCCTGGGGCCCTCGCCCAGGGGCCACCCCAAGCCCAACCTCAACAACAGCCTCAGCCACAGCAGGCACAGCCACCCCCTCCTCAGCCTTCCAAGCAAGCCTTGCAGCAGACTGTGCAGCTTCAGGTGCAGCAGCAACAGCAGCAGCAGTCACCCACCAAGCAGAGCTCTCAGCTGGGCAAGAGCCCTCCACACCACACCGGCATGCAGCAGGTACATCAGTCTCATTAGCCTGAAGAATATGTGGTTGTAACAGTGATGCTGAAAGGGATTAGCATTAGTTTTTTTTTCACTTTCAGATAGCTCTAACAAAAAACATCAGCATTTTATAATTTGGTGAAATGGTGGCCTGTTTTCCTGCAGCGTCTGCTGATGGTCAGACTTGTTGACCAAAAAAACTTTCTCAAGCTGTTTACTTTGCACTGAATCTCCTGATTGCGTATCTTTTTTTACATTTGTAAGCCCACGTTTCTTTAGTTCATGGTTTTAGTTTTGTTTTTGTTTTCTGAAAAGCAGGAGTGTTTTCCCCCCGGTTTTAGTTTTTAGTATTATGATAAGCTGTAAGCAGTAGGTGTTTAATAAGGGTCGGCAGTTCATGATTTCCATATAAATTACATAACAATATCCAGTTAAAAAAAATAAAATAAATTACAGCTCCAAAACGCAAAACACAAAATTTGTATACACTCTGTATATTGATCTGAAATGAATCCATCCCTTTTAGCATTGCTCCATTATTTTATTTATTTATTTTTATATGTTTACTGCGAACTGGCACACATCTGCTTTTGTCAGAACCTGAACTGTGCTCAAAGTAATCCCAAACAGGACTGTAGTTTTGTTCAGATGAGCTTTGTTGTTTTACCAGTGCTAAAATTGGTACATTGGTAGACTATGCACGGCTACGTGCTTGACGGGCTTTTCTTAAAGACATAGTCAATATTGGTATTGGCAGAAATTTGCACAAAGATATCAGAATCAATATCTATATCTGCAAATATTTGCTTTAAAAAATTGGCATCAAACAGCTGTTTAGATTTGACCGATATTTCAAAGCAGTACATGACACATACACGGGAAGAGCAGAATGTTTAGGTGATAGCAAACTACTCGCTTAGAGTGGTTTGATGTAAAGTGGTCAGTTGTAGAGAAACTTACAGATTTCTTGGTGATAGGAACCAGGGGTAATGATGTCTATAACACAAATGTAGCCATTTTATTTGCTGTCTAAAATGACCAGTGAGTCTGTGTTTTCAGAGTTATATATGTAATATTGATTATGGTAAAATAGTGGTAAATCCGACAAAATAAGTGTTTCCACATTGTAGCTTTCTGTGAGGGAGCTTTTAGGAGTGGACGCCTTGTATCCATCACCACCACTGTGGACAATTCTGATTGTTAGTTTTCTCTAGAAGGGAGCATTTCATATTAAACCACTCAGTGTTTAAATTTTCTTAAATAAAACAATTTAATTATGAAGATATTTTGAAAATCTTTTCCAATTAAGCAGCTGTTGTCGATCACCATCTCAATACAAAAATAACATTGTGGGACATTGTTGACATCACAATGTGAGACTGATAGATATTGTTATATGGACAACATTTTCCTTCCTTTCCGTTGTTATTTTTCCCAAAGCCCAGGGCTGGGAGTCTGCATGTTAAACTAAGGTTATAAATGTATGTTCAGTTTTGCTTCTGGAATCTTTGTTGAGAAGCTGTGATCTGATCTTGGTCTGTGTTGTAGAATAGTCTCGCTATCTTTGTGACCATGCCACCTCTGTTTCTATCTTAGCCGTACATGCCAGTGTCTGAGCAGGCTGGGCCGATGTGGAGCCAGCACCAGACTCAGCCTGGGATACCCAAGATGCCCATGACGGTCAAACAGCCTTTCTTCATGCCTGCCCAGGACCCCATGAAGCTCTTTGAGCACCCAATGTCCTCAGCTGTGTCCATGCAGCCTCCTCAGCCCAGCATTGACAAAAAGATGACGTTCCCAGAGGTCAAAATGCAGGATTTCTACTGGGAGCCGCCATACCGTATGGGTGAGGGGAGGAGCAGCATGGGAGACAGGATGGGCAAGCACCAGCCTGGAGTTTTCTGCCCGGACCAGGAGAATACACCTAGAGGCCCACCATATGAGGTTTGCTTTCTGGTTCTTTATTTCCTGGGTCAACAGAGTCATTAGAAAACTTTAGAACAGGGTTTGTTAGGGGAATTTTTGTCCTGAGTTTTGCTTTATTGACAGCTACTGAGTATTATTAGGTTTTAGGAACTATTATTTAGGACATCTTTTGATGTGCTTGGGATGGAATATACAGTGCTCAAGCCAGTTACACAGTGAGAGCTTGTAAACAGCATGTTCTTATGGATCTTTTAGATCAATATTCTGGTTTGAGGCATGGTGGGAGGCCTAATGAACACATGCAAGCATTCCACTTTTTCTTTCTCTTCTTTCCAAGCTGTTCTCTGCAAGGGTGAAATATTTCATGGGAAGGGGATACATTGCTGTAGCTCAGATTTACTATTAATTCAGTCTATTTCATGGCTATGGGACATCATCCTCTTTGATGCTTTTATGCCTTTGATTTGTGCAGTTTAAAGGGCACTATGCCTCTCTGCCCACTGATTTACATTTAATGTAACTTGGCAAAGCAAACACAGTCTCTCTGTTGGGCTGTTGACTTGAATCCAGTGGAGATTAGTGGAGCTGATGTTCAACGGCTGCTGCTTTTCTCTCTCGGACAGCTCTCCCTCAGGCGCTCTCTTTTCTTACAGGGCTGTTTTTTTTCCTCTTTCTTTTCTCTCTCTCTGTCTCTCTCTTCTCTCTTCTTCCTTCCCTTTTGTGCTTCATCTCCCAATAGGACAACAAGAGCTCTCCTCTTCTTCCTCCAGACCTGTTAAAAACTCTGGCAGACTTTGAGGAGGAGGAGGAGCTGGTCTTTACTAAGCCTCATGATTTCTACCAGGCCTTGGCCGGCCCTCTTAACTCTGCTCCTGGAAGGAACATGTTTGTATGTAGTTTTCCCTCCTATCACATCAGGCAGGGCTTTCCAAAGCTCTTTATTTTCTTCTGGTTTCTTACATTTTTCCACACTTTCTCTTGCTTCAGTGAAATTCATGCTGTAGTTGTTGTAATCCAGTCAAAACAGAAGACGTAATGGTTCATTTTAATGTTGGGGTGTTAATGGTTGGTAGTTACTTGGCAGAAGAAAAAGTTTAGTGTCTGTTAATTGGTAGAAATTGTAAAACATAAGTATATAGATCATTTGGTGTGATTGCTCTTGTGCCTAGAGTTAAATTATGAGATTGAAATGAGACAAGAATTACTTGTCTGTTCCTGTTTGGACTTGGGTTTAAGAGTCCTACCAGCATAAGCAGTAGATCACAGCCTCTGTGCTTCTCCTTTTTTTTTGCAGTTATCAAACCAGTCAAGGCTAGACAGTGCGCCTGAGGTAATGAGCCAGTCCTCTCTACTACATCGCTCTGTCTTTCCTGTTCAGGTAAATCTGTGCCCTTTATCACCCACACCTCACAAATGTAACTTCAGCCTTGTGCCACCAGGTGGCAATGTTATCCACAGAAATACCTCATGAAGTGCTGATTCATAGGCAGTGGGATTTCTGTCTTTTTTACATGCTCTTAAATTCACTTTAACCTTTGTTGGTTTTTGGTTAGGGTAGCGTCTCTTAATCCCCTGCTGACAAACAGTACTGCACAATTTGAGTTATTCCCTGCTCCAATACACCTGATCCAGCTGTGAAAGATCTGATGATCATTTGATGAGCTCTCAGGTTTATTTACGTAGGGAGTATTGCAGTGAGCTATTAGAAGGCAGGATTAATGAATGCTGGTCTGAATCTGGTTGTCCCAGTCCCAGTCCTGGTGACTCAACACTATTTTTGTGCTTTGTCTCATTGAGCACACCTGATTCAATTAACAAGTGCCTGGTTAGCTGGCTCAGGTGTGTAAAACCACAAACCACAAACATGTGTAGAGCAAAGGGTCACCAGGACTGGGATCAAGGTTCCCCTTTGGCCTTGATTTCCCTGCTTGTTGAAGAGTTTCTGATTTATCTGGAAATTGGATGAGGTGTAAACAGTGGAGCAAAGAGAAAGAAATTGCAGACCAGTGGAGCTCCATGACCAATGGGATTGTTAGTTCTCATTTCAGTCCTTTGGGCCCCAAAAATGCCTGCCATGTTTCTGCTCTATCCCAGTTCTCATCACACTAGGCTAGAGCAAAAATGTAGCACTGTCTTTTGAGCCTCAAGGACTGGGTTTGAGAGATACTGGTCTAGATTATTGTTTCTCACTCCTTGTTCTGGTGACCCACAACAGTTTCAAGTATTCCTTGATCACGATTATGAAGCTGGATCAGGTGGGTTCGGGCAGGGAATAGTGAAACTGTGCAGTGCTGTGGGTTGCCAGGAGCAGGATTAAGAAACCCTGTCAAGATCAGGCATTTCAAACTGGGTTTCTTGCAGGCCACGGCTGCAGAGGTTAACGCTGTCCCTTATGTAACATTCTAAATTTAACACATGAAAGTCTTGCTAATATGCTGATAAGTTGAATCAGGTGTGTTTAATGAGACAGAATGCTAAACTGTGAGGTGCTATTGCCTGCAAGGCCAGAGGTCTGACATATGGTCTAGGTAATCTGTTGATTTTCCAAAGTGTATAGAGCAGGGTCGGATTCCTGACCTGAGTTTGGTGATTTTCCTACTCCAGTATAGCTAAATGTAATGCAGTAGTAGCAGGAAGTGGTTGGACTTATTACCCTGTTAGATATTAATAGTAGTTTCTCTGCAGCAGATGTGTAACGTGTCTATTTTTAACATTGACAAAGGGGTATGAGTAAATGTTTAATTAGTTTCAAAAACATGATTGTTTTAGCCTTTTAAACAGTTCAGCGGGCATCTCCATCCAAATTACTGCAAAGCATTTCTTTATCTTCTTGCAATGTTCACATATTGGTGATGTTTTGGTTTTCTAGGAGAACTCTTACCAAAACAACAGCATCTTCAGTGAAGCCTATGGCAAAAATATGGCACCCACACCAAAGCCTGATGTGCCCATGATACACCAGGAGCCCTCCTTGTATTCCCTGTTCGAAGGAACTCCATGGTCTCCCTCCCTCCCGGCCAGCTCAGGTATACCATATTTTTCAAATGCACCTTCTTAATGAGACATACTTCACAAATCAAAGTGCCATTGAGGTGATACAAAGACATGCTTGTTGTTCTGCGCTAAGCCAAAAACAAATTCAATGTGTCAGAGTTTTCATTTACACTGAAATCTCTGAAATCAAAGAGTGTGGCATAAAAAACATTTTCTATTTTCTAAAATTGTAATTTTTTTGTCATTTTAGACCACTCAACCCCAGCCAGCCAGTCACCCCACTCCTCCAACCCAAGCAGTCTGCCATCATCGCCACCCACCCATAGTCATGGCACTTTGCCTTTCTCCAACTTTGGCCCCATCGGCACACCAGACAGCCGTGACCGCAGAGCAGCCGATCGCTGGAAGGCTGAGAAGACTGGTAAATCCCCTTTTAGATGTAGACCTTTTATTATAGTTTCTTTTTTAACCATCAGTTTCAAGCTTAACATTGGAAGAAGTTAGTCACTGGGTATCCTCTTCCACTGTAGGTGTGAGTGGCTTTGGGTTGGACTATCTGCCTACTGCCCCCGCCTCCTCTGCCTCAGAGCCAAACAGCTGGCACCAGGGTGCTCCCACCAGCAGCTGGGCAGCCCAGGACATGCCCATGGAGGACTCATCCACCGTCCTCCTCGACAGCTTTAAGGTACCTCTCGCAAATACAGATTAAGAGGTTTAAATCTGTGACCTCAAATTGATTTGGCTGCAGCTAAGATTATTTAGGAAATTATTTAATCAGTCATAAAATCTCAGATTTCACTTTAACTTAATTATTATGGTACAATTCAGAATTATTCTTAATTACACTGAATACACAAATGTAACTAAGTATTGGCAAAGAAATGTGTGCATTTTTTATTGATTGTAATCAATTCTGTAATACTCTTATAATAACGATCATCAGTTAAGCTCACTGGACAAAAGCACGCGTCATTGTTTTCCCTGATCCTTGGTTAAGTCTTCCCTTAATAACAGCGCCAGTCCTGTCAAGTAAGGATTACACCAGTCTCCTGTGATACACTATCCAGAAGTATCCAGATACTCCTTCTGATTAATGAACTCTTAATGTTACTTTAATAGTTTATCCATTGCTGACACAGACACTTCACTTGCACAACCTTTATAAAGAAGTATTGACCAACAGAATAAGACACACTGGATCATGAGCCTGAGGTCACCATGCCCAATGCCAAGCATCAGTTAGAGCGGTATACATTTTTTTATGGTGGTCTGGAAGGTATGTTGACCAAAATTAATGTATGGCCAGAGGAATCAGAAGCATGAAAAAGCCGAAGAAGAATACACTTGAAAACCTGTTTTATTAATCAAAAAAGCAAAGAAAAATGTAACAGATGCTGCCTCTTAAGATGAGTTAACTGTAGCTAACTGGTACAACAATGAATGCTCGTGAGGACTCCTCATCTTTCATGCAACATTTTCTTCTCATTGGACGATGTGCCAATGTGTTTTGGGTTTGTCGGAGAAATACGTTTGCACTGTTTCTGGACCTAGCTAACATCAGCTAGAGTGGTTAGCCTAGTTAGCAGTAAACCAGCACCAATTCTGCCTTCCCAATTGCTTCCTCAACAGCGTCCGTGTGTTTCCGAAGTGTAATGTGCATTACTCTTCAAATATGAACAAAACCATAACATTTTACAGTCTTGTTAAAACATAAAAGCTATGTTTCATTGAATTGTTAGTCTCTGTTTTGTCCATCTTCCTGTGTTGAAATGGAACAAGTACCCGAGTAGTAATTTCGCTACTGCAGAACTGGCAACTTGAACGGTTAACTGAGAACCCAAGTACTCGTGTACATCCCTTGTTTAATCCTTACATGACAGCATTAGAGCTGTTACGGCAAGGGGATGCATAACCAAGTGTTGGAAATAATGCCTGGGACAGATAATTGGTGAGCTTAACTGATTGTAATTAATTTTGATGTTCCAAATACAGTTTGCCAAATCGCCACATTCGGATCGATGTCTACCCTTATGCAGAGTATTTATCGCTCTTAGATTTGAGTTTTTTGTGTTTACTGTAATCACTGACGCAGTGTCCCTTAACATGTGCCCTCAGTCAATCTGGTCCAGCTCGATGATGCAGCCGGGCCCTTCGGCACTAGAGCAGCTCCTCATGCAGCAGAAGCAGAAGCAGCAGCGTGGCCACGGCACCATGAACCCACCGCACTGAGGGGCCCACGGGCGCAAGCACTTGTGTGAAAACCGTACTGAAGAAGAGGAGGTGCAGAACCACAAGCTCCAATCGGAAATGTTTTTTTCCGGCGTTACCTGCGTGTGGAGGCTGGAGACGGCGGCCAAAGCGGACCGACAGGCTCCAAAACCAACCGCTCGCCTGAAACCGACGAGGGAGGTGCAGCCCTCTTCTCTCCTCTCCTCTCTCTCTCTCTCTCTCTCTCTCTCTCTCTCTCTCTCTGCCTCTGTGGCAAGGAGGGGCGTAAGAGCACCTGACCCGCCGCGCTGCTCAGCACGTAGCCGCTGCAGAAACACTGACTCAGAGGGCCGACTCTGAGGAGACTTCCTTTCTGATCGCCACCCTGCTTCCTCTGGGGGTCAGAGGTACTTCTCCTGGCTCACTTGGGCTCTATGGCTCTATAACTCTAGACTCTGGACTGGACCACCGTCAAAACAAAACAAACAAAAAAATACCTGCTTTTACCTGCTCTGTGTGACCATTGCGCAGCACACACGGGAGAGGAAGAGGGTGTGGATGTCACTGTGTGCGTGTTTGTGTGTATGTGTGTGCAGAAGGTGGAGTTTTAAGGACAGGCAGGAGTGGCAGTGGGCAAAACAGGACTTTTTTTTTTTTCTGAAGTCTGGACACGTTTTTCCTGGAGGAGGGCTTCGTGTAGCTTGGGGCAGGTGGGTAATAACGGGAAGAGAGAATTGTTGACTGTATTCACTGCAGTTGGTGTAACAAGTGTGTCTCTGTATGGACTGCACACAGATAATAGGACATAGTTTGATGCGGGCATGGATTATGGTTTCGCTGTGATGTCTGGTCTGCTCATTTCTTGGAAGTTTTTTTTTTTGTTCTCTTCTGTTTCTTTTTAAAGAAGTGGGCAGGGTTATGGTACTTCTGCCTCCGCCAGAAGGCGGAACTGCTATGAATTGTACCATGACATAGCTTAAAAAAGAAACCGAATGGAGGTAGAGCTTAGACTATAGCTATAGAGTGTAGTATCATTAGTTGCAATAGAGATTGCATTTATTAACAATACTGTATTTTGTGACTTGTTATGTAGCAGTTTTAGCTTTGAGATATTATTGGATTAATATGTTCAATAGTTTACTGCTAATGGGGAAGTCCTTTATATTATATATATATCTATATATATTATATTTCTCCTCAGCCCTTCGAGCTCTTCCTCATTTCTTTGAGCAACACTTTAAATTACTTGCATAACAGTTCCTTTCGTTCATGTTCTGCCTTTAATAGTTTTAAGCAGCTTTACCAGCTCTCTTTGTGCCTGGTCAGTGTTTTGTTGTTTATTTCCCCCCCCTCCCCCTGCCTTTCTCTCTTTTCTCTGTCTCTCTTTTCTTTTCAAAAGAATTATTACCATCATGGTTGGCACTGGCTTTGAGATTGAAAACAAGCAAAACGGGTCCAGCATCGATGCTGCTGGTTCAGCTGTATGGGGGCACAAGCAGAGGGACGCTGCTTAAAGGAACTCGCAGCCACTGAACTAAGGATGAGAACACTTCTATAGCCACTAACAGTAACTCAATCGGAGAAAACTGAGTAGCCCCCCCCTGCTACTTACTGCACTCTTGATAAATAGAAAGTGTCATTTCTTCAGCCGTCGCAGTCTAAAAACAGTAGAAAAGCTTCTTGCGCTGTTCTTGCCACTGTATTTAGCCCAGTGAAATTGTCTGGTAAACACCTAGCTTGCCAACGCTGCACTGGGATCAGTTCTAGGTGTCACTTGTTGGCTCTCTCTTAGTGCTGGCTCTGGACAGGCTGTAGCTCTGTTGGGATCACCATTGGGCAAAATTGCTCTTGGATATTCGCTGCGTTTCTCCAGTGTGGTCAAACTAGGGAGATGATTTTGTTTTTTTTTTTTTTTCCTTCTTTTTAAATCAACTTGGGTCTGATTTAATCCAGTGAGACGATTTCAAAAGCTGAGATATGGAGCGCTGAGAAAGTGTAGAGCACGGAGTGCTGCAGGGCCTTGTTTAATAGGGAAAGTTTCAGGCTGGAGGTCACCGTTGGATAAGCTTCAGTGTCTATGAATACGTTCAGTGGTTATTTTTTTCATGGTTCTACTGCAAAGGTATTTTTGGATGGAAGGTTATCGGAGCGTCAGCTTCTTGTACGAGGGAAAAGCGCATTTTTATTTTCGTGTAGAGAACGTTTTATTGACAACTTTAAATGTCTCTATTTGCTGTGTGATTGTGCTTCTTGTTGCATTTAAAAATGTATTTAAAGAAAAATGATTAAAAGAGGCATAACAAAATGAGCTAAAGTTTAACAAAGAATTACTTCTTATTACCCAAGCACCGCAAGGCTTTAGGGGGAGCTGTGTGCTAGTTTTGGCCCCGTTTCATCAACTCATGGATTTCCTATACAGTGTTCTGGTTTGCTTGCTGTAGAAACCTGTCATTTTTGCAATTGGATAGGTGAGGGTTGGTGTGCAATCTTGACTGAATGTTCTGTGGAAGGCTTGCCGATCACTACATTTAAAATGTGGATAACCCCCTCCCCCCCTTCTTTGACAGTGGATGTCTTTTGCTCTGGTGTTGTATATTAAAAAAATTACTGAGAACAGTCTCTGCACCTTTTGGGCAGTAATAACATTCCAGTACAGGAGTCTAAGAAGCGGCCAGCTTACAGCCACAGCACAGAGAAAGCTAACCACTGAGCGAACGTGCCCATACTCATTGTATGAGAATCCCTCTTTGGAAATCCTGCATGAAAATACAGCTTCTTGCCTTGTGTATTTAGGGTGAAGGAGATATCCAGTAAAGATTTTTAGAGGATTTTGCAAGTTAGGTCAGGTGAAGATGTCTCCTTCTGTAATCAGCTTGATTTATTGTGTTCTCATTTGTCTGTGGACATTCAGAAACGCTGAAAATCAGCTATGCCTTTAATAAAGTAAACCATGTCCTCTTTGTTTGTCCTCTTTTATTGCTTCACTTAATATAATCTTGTGTATTATTGTAACCAGCCTTGTGATGAAGGTCTGACTACAGAGTTTAGTTTCAGTTTACATTTTAAGACGTCAGAAGTGACAATAACTACATTTAAATGGACACATTAGCCCGAATAGGTTCTTAATTAGTCCATGAAACTGGACCAAACCAAAATGTTTACAAGAGACGTCCACAAACTAGTCCATTTGTAGTTTCGGTAACATACACACAAGCATAGACTGCCTTAATACAGCAAAATGCCTCATAGGTTTAACCATGTAGAGTTAAGCGATGGTGTTCTCTTTTTTCTGTACATTTAAATATCTAATGGTGTCTTTTTCTGACATTGTTTTAACATTAAACACTTTCAGTGGAAAGCCAACATCTTATAGCCCAACCACAAGCTGTGTCCACGCTATCATGGGCTAACACAACGTATTGTCGCTGTCCAAAGAAAAACAAGTATCTCCAAAATGGGAACTTTACAGGAGAGGGCAAACCGTTCTTTACTTTTAATATAAGTCAATGTAAAGATATTTTATTCCAAGTTATTTTAAAGCATTGCTATTGGTCTATTATCCTGCCTTTCGCCCAGAGACCGCTGGGATAGGCTCCAGCACCCTGCCACCCAGAAGGATAAGCGGCTTAGAAAATGTGTGTGTGTGTGTGTGTGTGTGTGTGTGTGTGTGTGTGTGTGTGTGTGTGTGTGTGTGTGTGTGTGTGTGTGTGTGTTGGTCTATTCATCATGAAATGTTCACACAATACAAAGGACAGCCACCATGATGCAGAATACTAAAAATTGACAAAAATGGAGATGTGTGTTTTTCTTTGGACAAGGATGGTGTGTTAATGATGTTTCTAGTATTGCAGAAACTTGTAAAGTTAGTTTCAGAGAGAAACTGTGTCCCCTTTTAGCAGCAGTTATTAGTTATGACCCCTCAAAACCTTTTTTAGAGTTATGAATTTTGTTAGAAAAATTGGCTTCTTTCCCCACCATGTCTGGATCAGACACCACCCCCCCCAAACAATAGTAACAGTAAACATCTTTGAATCAAATGGCTTGACTCACTGTTCTATATAGTGCCTCAATTATAACAGCTAGTTTATCTGTAAAGTTACTGAGTTATCTTTTATAATAATTATTTATTATTAATTAATCCAATTGTTATTTCACTACAACAGCATGGACATCTTAAGCTTGACCTCAGCTAAGTGTAGAGACAGTGTGAGAACAAAAATTGGAATAAAATTACTTCACTCACTGTTACGTATAACACATCAATTACAATGGCTCGTTTACCTGTAAAGGTAATGAGTTATTTTCTTCAAACATGAAGATGACAGGTGGACAAGTACATTACCGGCTGTAGTTGTATTAACAGTGAGTCGATAATAAATACACTATATGGACAAAGTATTGGGACACCTACACATTACACTTAGAGGAGCTTTTATGACATCCCATTCTAAATCCATAGGTATTAGTATGGAGTTAGTCCCCCTTCTTCCACGCCAAACTGACGCAGCCAAGCTTTTATGTACCTTGGAACAGGAATGGTTCTTCCCCAAACTGTTCCCACAAAGTTGGAAGCATACAATTGTCCAGAATGTCAGATAGAGAAGTGTGATTCACTCCACACAATACGTTTCCACTACTCCAGAGTCCAGTGGTGCCATGCTTTACACCACTAACACTCCCCCCCCCCCAAACGCTTGGCATTGTGCATTTAGGTCTTAGAACATTACAGATGAATAATCAAAAGGGCCAAATTATTAACAAGCTTCTTTAAAACTTTAAGACAATGTAGAAATTTGAAAAAAAAGTTATTTAACCACTTAAAAGAGTCATTCCACTTAACCATGCAGCAGCTCAGACATGTCAAAATCTCCATCTGCATCCACATCAAAGAAAATGGTATAAAGTGAAGGTTAACCTTCCTACATATTCGTAATGTGTTCACAGTGAAACTTGTTTCACAATTTCTGTATGAAATTTAAATGACTTTGCTGGGGACACCAAAAGCACACTGTATTGATATTGACCCAAATAAGCCCTGTAACAAAATCAAAGGAACCACATTCGAAAGTGAGAAACCACACACGGCGCCCTCAGTGTGGGGGGAAAAAAAAACACTTCAGTATTTTGTAGACCCTCCCTCTACCAAGATACCAGGAGTTACACCTTTTATTACATCTGTTCAATGAACACAGAGTGAGTCTCCCCCCAGACAGCAAACTGTGATTGAAACAACGTTGATTTGATGTTGGGACCACTGTTGATCTTCCATGTTCAATGATCTTGCTCGTTGTGTTTGCCATTGATTTACTGTTGATGAATCAACCATGTTGAACACTGATCCAGTGTTGCTTCAACAGCAGTTGTGCATGGTTGGTGCAACTTACTGTGATATGTAAAAACAGCATTAGGAGACTTAATAAAGGACTTCTATTCCTATATGGCTGACTGGATAGACATTGTACCTCTCTTCGGTATAAAGGGCAACTGAGTTACCCACTGCACCATCCTTTACACCTCGTTCATGTGGCTGTAACATCTACAATTCTAGAAACTTGTGCTGACAAACGGTGTAAGAATATATGAATTTGCCTGCCTCTGCGAGTTGCTCTCAGATCAATAGCTACTCAACCATCAACGTTGGATCAGTGTTCAACATGATTGATTGCATTTACATGCACTCAATTATCTGATCATAATCGGATTTCTGCAGTTATCTGATTATTCAAATGGTCATGTACACAGCATACTCTGATTTCTTAGATCGGAGTAATCTCTAGAAATCTGATAAGAAATCTGATAAAGAGAGCTGGATTTTAGCTCAGTAGTCAGATTTCTCAGTGCATGTGAACTCTTACTCTGATTTCTTTCAGATTTTTCAGTCTGCGCATGTGCGAATACAGACGGCGGTACCAGAAATAAGCAAGCCGCCTTGCCGCAAGCAAAACACTTTTGGAGCGATGCTGAAACCAACTACATGCTTGATGAAATGATGTATATAAATATTCTTCATCTTCTAGATGATGTATGTTCATATTTTCAGGTAAAGTCGTGCGATGTTTAGCCGCATGAGTTGTACATTATATTTACATCAGGTCTTGTTCTGTGAGTTAATTGGCCGGTTGCAAAGCAGAAATCTGATTACCTCCTGACTCATGTAGACCTGGAGCTTCCACATTATCTGATCACTCAAGTGCATGTAAACGCATTGATCGGATTACTGACAAAATCTGATTTTATGTAGTAATCAGATTATTAAATGCATGTAAATGCATTCGACAACAGAAACCTACGTTGATTTGACAGTGTTTCCCAACATTGAATCCACATTGTTTCAATCAAAGTTTGCTTTCTGAGCCCACCGCTCCCTTCACCAGTGCTTTCTCATTTGAGGGGCATGTCTGTCTACAATGCAGGATGCAAATGAGACTGTTAATAATTTACATTTATGGCATTTGGCAGACACTCTTATCCAGAGCAACTTACAATTTGATCATTTTACACAGGTAGGAGAAGGTAGTGTTAGGGGTCTTGCCCAAGGACTCTTTTGGTAGTGTAGGGAGCTTGCCTAGGCAGGGAATTGAACCCCAGTCTACAGCATAGGAAGCTGAGGTATTACCCACCACACTATACCAACCACTGTATTTCAATAATGAAATAAATTTCATACAAATTGTCTAAAAATGATCTACTCTCACACTCGGTTCTAAAAACAGGCCTCTTAAAATGAAATATTTCCCACACCTAAGGTATTGTACAGGTTCCTCAAGGAACAACAAATGCAAATGTACCCTCAGTGTTAATGAGGAACTCCCATCAATTTTTCAAAAAAATTCTACATAATTAAATGGTTGGGATGTAAACAAAGTCATTCAGAGTGAAATTGGTGTGAAAGCCGTTTTAGAGAGTCCGAATAGTTCACAGTGGTGGTGATGGGAACCAGACGTCTGAAAAGTTTAACGCCTCTGGGAGCTCCCTCACAGAAAGTTATTACACGAAATGGTTATGAATACCCAGCCTGATGTCTGACACATTGTTTTGTAATAAAGCTTTGGCTTAAAATGTTTTATTCATTCAGAAGGCGCATGTAGGTTCACTGGTGACTTTTGATAGTAAATAAAATGGCTATATTGTGTTGTAGACATGCCAACCCTGGTTCCTATCACTATCACTGTAAGTAAATCTGAGTCTGTAACTCAAACCACTCTGAATGACACTGTTTACAGTGTCTGAATTATTAAGAAATTTTGAAAAATTAAGGTCCAATTATGTACCTTAAATGAGATGGCATATTTGTATCATACATACATCATCTAAACCACTGATCCTTCTGGGTCGCGGTGGGGTGCTGGAGCCTATCCCAGCCGTCATTGGGTCGAAGGCAGGATACACTCTGGACAGGTCGCCAGTCCATCGCAGGGCAGACAGACAGACATACACAGTCACACACACTCACACCGAGGGGCAGTTCAGCATGTCCAGTCAGCCTAACTGCATGTTTTTTGACTGAGGGAGGAAACCGGAGTACCCGGAGGAAACCCACACAGACACGGGGAGAACATGCAAACTCCACACAGAAACGACCCTGGTCGCCTGGCCAGGAATCGAACCCAGGCCATTCTTGCTGCGAGGCGACAGCGCTACCCACTGAGCCACCGTGCCGCCCTGTTTGTATCATTTAATAACATAACATTTTAAAATATTAAATAAAAAGCCTCAGGTCAAAATAGGGTCCATGTAGGGTCCACAGTACAATTATGTTCCCTAATTAAAGGTACTGAAGACGTCACATACCTTTGTTTTGTCTGAAAATGTGTGATGAACTAATGTGTAGTTAGGACGTATGTAAAGCTATGACAGCTATAATGCTCTACATGTGCTGAAAATGTGCCTGTTCTTTCTGGGTTCAGCTCATTCTATCTACCTTCAAGAAACACAGGGGGTTCTGTTGTTTACCTCAGGA